GTTTGGCACGTATATGAGCTGCTGTTACTAATTTTCCAGCTGATGGCAATCCTGCATGCCACGCACATCCACTAGTGTCATTTCGCGCGGCAATTTTTTTATATTAAAGGGAATTCTCTGAACTCCGAATGAGTGTCCAATCCTCAGTGACTGTAACGATTTCTAAATTCAACAACACTGAGGAATAGGCATTCGGTCATGAAGGTCTGCGGGCCATAATTATGGACTGCGTTTTCTGCGGTTTTCGTAAAGCAACTTTCTGAGACTTTTTATGGCGATATTGTGGTTTTGAATACTTGCGACATACACAACCCTTTCGAACCCACAAGGCCGTATTTGAGGGGGGGGGGGGGTGTGGTGGTTCATGGGGGTCAAACCCCCCCCCCGAAATATCTTCCTTAAATTTTTGCCATACTGTTATTCGTTAGTGTAAACGGTGCAGTACATGGTCTTTTCATTTTTAATAGCTTATGACTTATTAAGTACTGCAGCTTACAGGAAAATCCAGATATGTCACAAAGACTCACGATGACAAGTATAAAAAAAATTGCCACAGCCCATACGCCAGACCTCAACCCCCCCCCGAAATGAAATCCTAGATACGGCCCTGCGAACCCAGTATCAGACAGAATGGTAATTAGCAGGGGAATTTTTCATGAATTCAAGATCATTGTTGTGAGCGCCTAGCATAACTGAAAAGAAAGATGTTTCACGAACAAGAAGCATGGCTTTATTGAAAAGGGAGGGACCATAAATGATGATAGATACAGACATCAGATGCAAGACATGCCACTCAAGCATGGTAAAAGTTACACCAAGTAATCTCTGGACAGATCTGCTTCAAATTCTCACACAGAACTGCCCAGAGATCACATTTAGTAAGCAAAGTCCTAATGCTAACACTCAATTTGTTCAATATGACTAAAAAATATGGCCAGCAAATCATCACAGATCCAACTGTGATGCAGTCACTTCTGAAATTGTGTTCAACACCAGCATGTGACAGCTGAAGCTGTTCACTAAAGATTAATACAAGAGAAATATTCCATATCAATATCTTTGAGAGTCCATGAAAATGACAAATGGCTCCAATATACTTCATGTTTGCTCATTTTTTTATGCTTTAATGCCTAACAATTGGAGTTGAAGAGTTTCTATCTGAGATGAACTATTTTCATTCTTGAAACATAGATCAAGTCACAGCTCATGGCAATTGCAACTTCATCAAGTACTCAAAGAGGGTACTTCATCCCTCATGTAGCCAACAAAAAGAATTTGAGGCCTTGACTAGAACATTAGAACTAGAACATAATGAGCTTTACCTCCACTTTACATTTTGCTCATCTTGGCAGTCTGGTTGTGTACGGACTGAAAGCAGATAGCATTTCCCAAGCACCAAAGGCTCAAATGGAAGGGAGGATTATAAAACCTGAGATGGAAGTGACTGGATACATGAACTGCAGAACAACAATGTAACTGCAGTAAGCTGAACAATGAGCAACCACAAACACCCTATGGTACAAACTGATATAAAAGCCCAAGGCAATCAAAATGCAAAGAAATCAAAGAAATAATGAATAGAAATGGAAAGCAACCATCTACTTGGTTACAGCATCTAGTTTCAGCATACCAAAGTCAAAATAAATTCCATATTTGAATTAGCCTAAACAAGATTGTCTAGAGACATTTTTATTGAGGTTGACCCTAAAGACAAACAGATAAGCAAACAAAGTAATGTTTAGGTGTGAACTTCATCTGGGTAAACTGTCAATGGAATCAGAAGACTGGTTTTACCTAAGGTGACCAGACATCCAGGACTAAATGGGTCATCTGACTTTCAGACCACCTGTCCCTCTGTCCCCTAATGAACTAAGCAGTTCAAATACCAGTTTTAATTCTTGTTTCTATTAATACAATAATAAATATAATTGTCAATGCAACAAATACATTCATATTGTTATTTAGGAGGCAAGGAGTGTATTTATTGATGTCCCACTTTCACAACACAGAAATTTGGTCACCTCAAGTTTGCCACACCTAAAGTCGTGATAAAATATGAGCAGAAGCATTCCTAAAATTTCATGAAGTCTTTGCTATGATGCAGAAAGAAAGAGAAAAAGAGCGACAGACTCATGAAGATACAGACACAGACATTCATATGATTGCAGCAGGTATCTTGTTTGAAGGAAATTGATTAACTAGAAATGAAGTTAGGGGTCCTTCCCTATCAGAATCTGCAATGTTTCTTCTATGAAGATGGATATTTGGCAAACTTTCAGCTACAATCAATGAAGTTTCTTATTTGCAAGAGGGTTTTCCACATAAAGAGTTATATTAAACCTGCCCTTGGATACCATCAAGGGTACCTACTATTCTCCTATTTTGACCTGCAGAGTGCCAATGCTGAAATCTATCTATACCCAATCAATAATACAGTTAAGATCACACCCATATGCAGAGACTCTGATCAATTAACCACTTCAGATCCAGATCTTATACGTTGTAAATGCCAAGGAATCACAAAAAAATGCATGTTTACAAGTCAGCATAAATATAAATTGGTGATGCTATGATGTCTTACTGTTTACCAGGTACAGGCATAAAGATTATCAGAGGTGCCAGCTACTGGCAATAGATTAGCAAGTAACTGGTATTTTTAAGGGTCTTATTTAGTAAAAGGTGTGCTATGGCTGTAATCTTCCATGAGTGTCCATGTTTACATATTTTTATCTCTCCATAGGAAGAAAGCTGCTTTCCCACACCAGAATAACCTATTTTATGAAGCCTCCTGCTACGCAGGAAAAAAAAAGCAGTTACATTTACCAAAATACAAGAATATTGACTGCCAGATAAACCTTCATATCATTGCATTTCTTGATTGGTGAGGTGTCATGAAACTGGTATGCCCCAGAAGATCTCCCATTCCATTGACACAAATTTGAATAAAACATTGATGCCTTGCTACATTGATGAGGTAGAACTTGCACAGGTGTCAGAACTCATGACACTGGGGTTTTTAACAGGAAGAGTCCTTTAACATCAAATAGTCAATCATAAAAAAAGGAAATTTGGCATCTTAAAGGTGAAATCACCCAGCAGGGATTTGGAAGTCCTGTTTTTTTTTTTTTTTTTTTTTTTTCTCTATAGTAGCATAAATGGGCATCACTTTTGGTGCCCTATATTGGCTTTATTTTTTTTTTCTGGGGGAAGAGAGGGGGGGGGAGAGCAAATAGGGGGCCATATTATTAAATTTCATTATTTTCTACCTTAATTAACAAATTGCACCACACATCTGCTAAATTCTACCCATGGGAATCCACATGGATCCAAGAATCCAATGAAGATCCTAACTAGCACCTAAAGTAATATGGAATCTTCAGGCAATTTCCATCCAACAAAAAAGCATGTGAATGAAAGATCTAGCGACTGCACTTGTTAAATAACACGAACATCAATAATTAAGAGAAAAGAAGCTTCTTCCCATTGAATAGAGGTATGTTCACTGGTCATACATGACCAGTGGTCTCCTTATTTGCTAGCAATATCCATTTGAGAGGTCATGTTGGATGCAGCTTTCAGTAATAATAAAATTAAGGGGTTCCTGTCCCTCATTTATGATCCCATAATGTTAATGCAAGTTTTCTTCATCCTCTGGAGAGATTTAAGCTCAGTTGCACAATCACTTTCGGTACCTCAGTTTCAATTAACAATGTAGTTTAAATTTGATTGAGAACATCCACCCAACACAAATGACCCATACTACAAGCCGTCTTAGGTGACTCTCCCCTAGAATATTTTCAAACTATCTACCTTTTTTCTCCTGACACTGTCAAGTTCATTAAAAGAAATAATACTAATTTAATATTCACTTTTAGGAAAATAAGCACTTTCCCCAATGATCCAGAGGATCATTCAGATGCAACCCCTCCTGGGTAGAATTTAGCAGACATAATCCTTTGTTTTCCAGCATTTCACTGAAGGTGTTTTGTGGTGAAAATTGGTGATCCAAGGATCACTAAATTTAGAACAGGTGTTGAAAAAATATTCCCTGTTCTCAGACAATCCTGACATGACCAACATGATTCTAAGAGCAATACTCATCTCCCATACTACTTAGCACACTGTCTTATCTTACAATCACCATAGTCCAGCACAATGATTGGCAAAAAAGTGTGTTCAGATTGACTTCACAACTGGTCACAGCTGGAAACTAAAATTGGCAGGCACTTACTGCAGATATGGCAAAGCAGTAACTTCATCACTCTTTAAAGATGCTAAATATAGTATTGGATCATGATCATTGATCATTGTAAAGTGACAAGCTTCGGTGAAAGGTTGAAACACTCAATGGCTTTTCTTGTAACTTTCTGCAATAAACAGCTTTTGAGGGTGAATTTCAACCTGTATGCAAGGGGTGCATAGTTGATCCAAGGATATGTGATCCCTGTACACAAGCACAGCCATGAACATGGCAGACAGTCCTGACAGGTACAGGTACAGATCAGTCTCAGAATAATAAAAAAAAAATTTAAAAAAAATCCAGCATTAATTGCAATGTAAACCTTCACTTAACCCAATGTTCCCAAGAATATACCTAAATATAGATCTCAGAGATCACACTCACAAGACATTCTTGGCAGCTACCTCACAGAGGGGAGTATAGCATCTCATTTAACAAGGGTCATGAGGACTTGTGTTGTTATGAAATGCAAGCAATTACTAGTGCAGCTGTACAAACAAGAGCCTCATTGATATCATTTCTCTTCAAAAAGTGAAATAGGAACCTATTACTTACTCAACTAACAACTTATTCACTCAACCAGGAATACATGATCTGGCTCATTGCTCCTGCTTCTCCCAGACATACAAAAATGTCCAAATTGCAAAATTAACAAGTCATAAACAATTTCAAGAAATGTTAGGATTGGGTTGCAATTAGTTGCCTAGTTGTCAAAAACTCCTGGGATTCAGCTGACCTAATGAAGCTTAGCCAAGGTGTTTCAAGCATCAACTTCCTGCTCTGAGGGAGGAAGATCTGTATCACCAACAGGGCCATTGACGATAACTTGTGGAATGGCAGCTGAAGCAATCCTCTGAGAGGAGCGAGGTGTGGAAGAGACACTGCCACCAATTGAAAAGCTCCTTGATGTATATGGATCATCATAGGGAGTGTCATAGGGGACTGGTGAGTGGAGTCGCTTGTAGGCCTGGCTTCCAGATGTATCCGCATTGAAGATGAAGCTGGATGTCAACTAGTGATGCAGGATAAATAAAACAAACAAAAAATACATGTCAATGGATGATGCCATACAAACACAGTGTAGCAAGCAAAAAATTCAGGTTGTTGGGAAATGCTTACAGCTTTGCTCAAATAAATAAATAAGAATGTGTGATATGCTTCTAGTTGAAGCTCTTTCAGTGAGGATTTTTCAAGAAAACTGATGAGCCAGGGGTTTGTTCCCATGCCATGGAAAGACCTTGGAATTATTTCCCTCCTCTCCCAGGATTGAATCAAAATGGTTGGTAAAAGGGGAATGACTCAAATTTCAAATCAAAATTCAAGTAGGTCTATTGGCTATTCCTCTCATTCCCATAATTGTCCATGAACTGGATGGAAATGACTTTTTCTTATTATTTATAATTTAAGAGGAAGAAATACTATGGGAAGCAAAAAATTCCACTGGCAAAACTGGAATTCTAAATAAATTACATATGTGCATCTCATTCTTAATCCATAAGAATGAGTCACCTAAATTTGGGCTTAAAGTCTATTTACAGGAGGGTTGAGATCATATACTTTTCCAGTGCTACCATAGAATCCAGACTATTGACAGGGTTCAGTGAGAGTTTCTGGCATGACCATAATAATATAGTACATCATTTGGTTTAAAATCAAAAAAGGTTAGAGTTTCTACAGGGAATTCTATATTACTAGTAAGGGGAAACTCACAGCTTCTGAACCAAAGCCCAAAACAGCTAGAGAATCTTGAGGAGAAGATGGTGTAGGATGAAAAACAAGTAGCATGGTCCAGATGGGCAGCATGAATTTGAATATCATGTAAATGAAGAATGTGATGGAGTAGACCTTTTGCTGGTGCCCAAAGACCCCACTGCAACCAATCTCATCGTCTCCCACTACAACACAATTTGATTTTCAATACAGAGGGCAGGATTCCCTTTCAAGGAATTGAATTCATGGATATGTTCAATGTTCTTAAACTTTATGTCTCTGAGCATCAGAGCAAAAAGAGTGACATCAAAAAATCAATTCTTCATCTTCCTATGGCAGCCATTCTACTGTTCCTCAATAGTCCATAACCCTTTCCCTGACTGGGATATCCAAACACTCCGAGGATGTCAACATAAAACTATGCCAATGCCAGGGGAAAGGGTTAAAGGACCTTCCAGTAACAGTACAAGGATGGATTTTCTCAAATCTGCTAGGTATTCCAGCATATGAACAAATGGAAAGAATGATATTTTCCAGAGAATATTGTGCATGAACCATTACCATCTTACATTGCCTTTGCACGTGGCTTCACTGACATTCACATTCTATCATCCCCATTCAAATTGATTCTTTGATCTGCATATGCAATCAACATTATGCAATAACTGTGAAAAGCAATAAAATGGGTCCAAAATGGACTTTCTAGGTCATACCATAATAGTGATAAAACTCACAAATCTGGAGGATAACATCATAGGTAAGAGGAAGGAAGGCAGAGAACTCAAAGACCAAGATCACAGCCCAAAGGTCCCTTTTCTGAGTCTTTTTCATCATTTCTTCAGTAGATAAGGAATTGATCTTCTTTGTGATGTAGATTCCAGCAACCATAAACAACTGCACTATCACAAAGTCTCCTGAAGATAGCATCAGCCAATATGGTTCTGCACAAAAATGATCGAGGGAAACCATGTAAGCACATAATTGACAGACATTAGGGCAAGGAACACACTTATGAAACCTCTGAACCAAAGACAAAACTTGATTGCATGATAAGGAAGACAGATACAGGGGTTGTGCTAGGTTTCTTGCCATAGGGGGTCCCCAGGATCCTCAGGTCTGATATGGAAGGGTCCCCTAATAATTAAGGGGGTTAATTTCCAAGTGAAGCATGAGGGAATCTTTAAGGGTTCCCCAAAAGTAAAAGTCCAGCATTCCAAGTTTACTTGCTGACTGATATTCAATTCAGCATTCTTAGGCCTTCTGCCTGTGCATCCCAGGGATCCTGGGACCTCCAGGATGCTTGGGTAGGAGGCCAGGACAAGAAACTTAGTGCAGCCCCTGAGATAGATCTTATGCTGTAGGAAGCTCATGTTCTCAGACTTGTACTTCACATCCTAGTATGGATATGCCATACACCAATGACTACCATCATACTTTGTGAGGCATGCATTCAAATGATTCTCTACTGTATTATAGACAAGTTAATGCTCTCTATAGTTATATGGAAGAGTGAGTATTTACTCATGATTATAGGATGAAAACCTCTTCAAAAATACAAAAAAATTATTATAATGTGCAATCATGACTTGTGCCATGCATTAAACCTTCTCATTTATACTAGTAAAAATACTGCTTTTATAAGAAATGGAAATAAATCCGACTTAAGACTTAGCTGGTAGAGCCAGAAAATTTCCTTTCCTACTTGCTCTCAAAAAAAAGAAAACCTCCATCATAGGCTAGTGAATTTTGTCTTGATCATGCAGGAAGCACATGTAAAGCATTAGTTATATATAACTCGTTTGGCCCAATGCCTTTAATAATTTTTTTGGCTAGTGTAAACAAAAGCCCACAATAAGAAAGGTTAGACAATTAGGAGCAAGGTGTAACTCACTAAGACACTCAGTCCAGCTGTCAGAAACATCAACAATGCCAAGGATAGTGATGATGGAGAAGTAGATGAGGTAGCAGCTAAGCAAAGGTACGATAACAGTAGTAATGAGAAATTCCTTATGTAGAATCCGTGATGCCAATGTCCAATGAAAATGACAGAGGAGGAGAAACTGCAGGAGCTTCAGGTATGATGCAGAATAGTCCAATGCAGGATTGAAGCCATCTAAAATCCAATTGATTGTGCTGCAGAAAACAAAGAAGCCAGCACTCATAAATTGCAAGGGCTAAATTTATACCCTATACTAAGCCAAAATCATAAATATTAGGTAAAACTTATGATAGGGGTCTGGCAATCGAACAATAGGCAATTATTTGATCTGAACAGTGAAATCTTAATTTTTCTGAAAAACTTACCAAAGGATGCATTCCAAGAGAGCACAATAAAAGATGAGGTATTGATGAATCTGAGGATGGTGGACATAATGAAGTCTAACAATCCGAATCGTACACAGCACAGCTGTGATAGTCATCAACAAAGAGAGCACTCCTGTACGAGCACATGCCACAACATCAAAGTCACGAAAACAGCCTTTCACGGCCACGTCAATTGTCGCGTTTTCATGACTCCTGTTCTTTTCGTGGAAAAACCCAAATTCCTCGAGCATGGTCACAGACGTTCGGATATGTCCTTGAGCAATGTCAAACCAAGTTCTCGGATAGTCCCATGAAACCACACGGAAAGGCTTCCGTTCATTTCAAATGTCTCCTGCAAAAATTCAGGACTTAGAAGTTCGACCGTCGTAAGCTACAGCTAGGCCTACTTAGACTAAATGCCAAGAAGAAGCAAGAACGAGAGTGGGGGAACATTCGAAAGACTGAGGGAAATACCAGAAGTTTGAATGATATGACGTAGATACAATACAACCCCTGATGGAAATAGCCATGTTTCTAGGAGTGTTACAGTGATGTCACAGCTGAAATGAGAATTCCCTTTTAGAAAAATGGATTGGCACCTGGAGACATGCATTTGGGCGGTGGAGAAACAAAGAGAATTTTTTTTTGCTCGAGAAATGCAGCTGAGTAGTTACCGCCTCACCATTACTATCTTCAATGCCAAAGAGTTCGTCATTGCCAAGACTTCCTAGAGTACTCCCTACTCTCTCGACACGTGGTGTACAAATGGGTGTTATCGCCTCTTGATACCACTAAACAACTTTGAACCTTGAGAGCAGGTTATTATATGTAACGGAAATTTTATTTAGCAACATGCGGTCCCTCAACAACTTTGTACTAACCCCCCAAAATTGTGACTCCTTTGGTGAGTCTGTAGTAGTGAATCGGCCACATACCCAGATAACATTTTTCGTGGGGCCCACGTTGGCAGTATGTTGGATAGCAACATATAATCGAAGTAGCTGGTTTTCGCTCTATATCATCATCATTTCGTACCATATACTTAGATTCCCTATCCAGTGGAGGTATTCCCATCTGTAGAACGGAACCTGTAACATGTACTACAACCTACCAAGAACATGTATATATGTCCTGCTTGGCAGGAGACATAGGACAGTACAGACGTGGATCTTCCCCTGACTGTACTGATTACAGTACGTGTCAAGAGGATGGAGCACCTCATACGGTGAAGTATGAAGTATCCGCAATAGCAGTCCTTCATTTCCTCCGTCTACAGTGGAGATGAGGAAGTGACGGAATTGAATTCACAGATGTTTCCTCTATATTTCAGATCTCCCTTTCAGATGAATTCCTCCTGTCTTTCAAAAGGATTCTTATCGGGAATATGAGTTTGTTAATGGCCTGAGCTCCATGAATCTGTCTTGAATAAGTGGATAACAAATGATGAAATGTCCGCGCTTATTGATTCCTATAATGAGACTAGGCGAGACATATGGCGAGGTACTAAACAGGTCCTGCGAAGGACGATTCCAGGGAAAGAGGGGAGGGATCTTTCGCGTGCTGTGCGAAAAGGGAGACCCTATACCTACATCTAGTGGCCTGGCGAAAGTACTTCAAGGTTTTGAAGCTCTCCACCAGGAGTGCTGCAGCTCTTTTCAACGTGTGACTATGGCCACGTTGGGCCCACATGGGCCAACATCGTTCCCCAACATTCACATTCCGCCAACGTTTCCCACCTTTATCCAATGTGGGCCCAACATAATGTGTTATCTGGGTAAGTACTAAATATGTACTAAATAAGGTATCCCGGGGATCCGAATTTTGAAACGCCACCGAACCTATGACCATCCCCGGACCAAATGAGGAAGCCATGCAAAGTTTGGTCGGACTGGGATCAGAGGCGTGGCCGTGCATGAAGGACAGACAGACACACAAAAACACTCTGAAATATGGTATACTGCAGATAGATTTGTAAAAGTAATATTTTATCTTCCTTGATGTGTGCTGAATTAAGGCATAATCGTCATCGGGGATGACACAATAGAAGTCCTCGAGCAGAGGCAACTAATATCAAAACTATATGCTAAGAGTAGGAAGATATTCCTAGCAACCCAATTCCAATCAACCCAGTCTACTCTAAAAATGGAATCAATATCCTAAAGAGACTGCCCAGGATGCAATTACAATTACATCAAGTAAACATCTCAGAAAGATGGTTACCCACGCAGTTCATAGGTAGTAGACCTCTTGCTGCGTAATGAGAACCAGCTAGGGAAGGAAGGGGATATTGTAGCTCTAGCGCCGAACGCCGAAAGTGGGACACTTGCAGTCACCTTCCAGCCACCTTTACCAGAGGTAATGGTTTTCGGCGAGCAACAAGCTCAAGGACGATTGCTGAAAAAATATTATAAAACTTTTTTTTACAAAATCCATTGCCGACTTTTATTAGTTCCATCCATTCAGACTGTCTCCGCTTCACAAACCAGTTCCAGGTTTCTTGATGCACAGAAGGCCAATATTTTTTTCCTCTTCGGCCAGAAGTCTTCACAAAAAACGGCTCTCCTCTCGGTCTCAAAAAACTAACCCCCTCAACTACTGTACATACGCCTTTGTCAAGGGCGGAGGAAGTTTCCTCCTTGCCTTACATTGTTTGAATTTTACATTTTCGAGGAAGGAAAGCCTATAGCTATGCTCTCTGGGATGTCACAGTCTCTCTGAAATAAAAGAGACGCGAACGATTACAATTTTGCAGTCATTTTAAGTAGGAAAACTTTTTGCAGACGATGCCGAATCTGCAGACGTATCGACTTGGCAGTTGACACAAGCATTCCTCACTCTGATCTGAACTCCCCCGAGTTGACGGCATAGGCGCCGAACCCAAGGGGCAAAGGCGTATGTACAGTAGTTGAGGGGGTTAGTTTTTTGAGACCGAGAGGAGAGCCGTTTTTTGTGAGGGTAGGGGGGGGGAGGCCCCCCCCCCCCCCCCCCCCCCCCCCCCCCCCGGCTCGTCACTATGCTATCATAGTGACGAGTTATCATACTGAGTTACCCCAATGGATCCTGGAATAATTACGTCATTTTTATTTCAGGGGTATTAGGAACTTGCCCCCCCCCCCCAAATATTTTTTCAAAGTCGGCGCCTATGGTTAACGGGGAATAGGCCTAGTCTCCGAGCTACGCTGAACTCGCCTCCCTCATCTCCAGGCGTTTCGCGCTTCGCTTTCTATTGCGATCAAGTCGACCGTTCGTAATTTCATAGTTCCCAAATAAATAAATTACTGTGCCATTTGATGCAATATGGGCACCTCCTGTCAGAGTGATACGAGCATTCGAATTGTTTCTGTTTATTCGTATTTCATATTCCAACAATTTTTTATTCAGTTGGATTGTTTAAATACATTATTCAGGGACTCATTTGCATAACTGCAATTGTTTTATTTACGGTTTGTTCATGCTAAACCCTTACTGCCCGTTTTACCCCAAACAGCCAAGAGACTGTGGGCCGGTGAAAGGATTCATGTTTTCTTTTTTTTCCAGTTATCGTTGGAAACGGATTGTTCTTTTCAGCATGCACGCTTGTTCAAGAATGAGTTTCTGTTGCAATGGCGAAGTTTAAGCTTCTCGACACGTCAAAATTTTTCAGATTCCACGCTGAACGCCATCAACATGTTCATACCCCCCCCCCCCCCCGACTTACCAAATGATCTTGGGCATTGGTGGCTAGTGATATGCTGTGTTTGTGTTCGCGGTGTTCGCAACGATTCTCAAGAATTATTATCCTCGGAATCGACATTGAACACCCTCAGAAGTTTTCATTTATTTGCGTTTCACAGCTGGTTTCGCCATTGCCATCTGAATGTCAGGTGCCAGAAATTACTGTTTTATTGTTACCCATTGTTACATTCCAGGAGCAGCCTTTCACCTAAAACTGCGACCATGTAATTTATAACGGTGAAAACGGAAGCTTCCTTCCAAGAAGGTAAACAAGAAAGGGAACACGTTCTTGTCTTCTACCTTGAGAAACACTAGACTAAAAGTTACGGCAGATTCACAGGCACGGGCAAATTGGAGTGGTCTGAAATCGTTCTTCGAAGACCATATGTGGCACCATCGTTTTATTCTATTCGGGTCTCCTCAAGTGCCATAAATAGGAGAAAACACGAACATTTCCGGGTCATGAAACGCGATGTTCCCTAAAGTCGCCATGGGATTGCAAGATATATACAAGCAAAGGTGATGCATTCCATGAGACGAAATACGAAGGGATCAAAATCCTCGGGTATTGAGAGAGCCCATCAACACGTTCGCAGCTGATTGGATCATGTGAGCAACGACGGACACTCCTTTCTTCACCTTCTCCCAATCGGGATCGGCCGCCAGCAGCAAATCCACGAGGCTCCCGAACACTTCCCCTCTGTACGTGTCGGAGCTGCTGGGTTTGTAGATGAGGTGGCGGGCGTCGCTCTGGATCATCGAGTCGATGAAGACCCGCTCGACTGCCATCAACTCGTCGTTGAATCGTCGCACTTCGTACGGGTTCTCCAGGTTCAAAGAGCCTTGATGTTCTCCGTGGAAGAAGTCGGCAGCCGAGATGACGTTATCGATGGCGCTCCACCAGAGCTCCAGCGAGATCCCGTGTTCCTGCAATTGCGTCTCGAAAGTGTTCGAGAAGTCCTGCGCCTGTCGTCGGAGAAACTTGCCGTAGTCTCTGACATCGAACGGAATGAGGACGGAATTGGCGTAGTGATCTGCCAGTTCGATCCAGACTTGAGTGAGCCCTTTCATGTAGGTGAATCCTCGGTCCAGGATGTAGTCGACCAGATGAAAGGTCTCATAGAGGGAATGATACAAAGCATAGTCCCCTTCTTCGGTCCCGATGTACGACATGTCGATGGAAGGTATCCCCAAGAAATGGATGAATGGGGCATAGTCGCTCCCGCTGCCCAAGTTCCCGACTTGTGGGACGTCTGGATCTTCAGATGGGAAGTTGTGCAGCCACGTGTGAAAGACGGTCGGTCTACCCGCCGCGATCTCATCCGGATTCGGATTCCCCACGCTCTTGGTCGTGGTATACAGACTCTGATACGTCAAAGGACATCCCGAGGGACTCAATGTCCTGTTCCCAGAAACGGAAATGTCGACGTTCAGATTTATGACTGCCCTATCCGCCAATACGTTGGCGTGCTCCTCCACCCATTCCAGAGAACCAACGAGACCATACTCTTCTGCGCCCCAACTGCAGAATATGAGGGTCCTTCTCGGTCGGTTCCCCTCGAGGGCGGCCTCGCCGTACAACCTCGCGATCTCGAGTAACGAAGCCGTTCCGCTGGAAGGATCCACGGCACCGAAAACCCAAGCGTCGCGATGATTCCCCAAGATCACGTACCGATCCGGTTCCACCGACCCGTGGAGTATTCCGATGACGTTGTGCACAGTCGCCATCTCGTTACGAGTGCGAACCTCCATCTTCACCTTCCAGTTCGGCTGAGCGAAGCCAGGCCCAAGCCGGTATGTGACGTTGAGGGCGCCTTGCCACTCTGGAGGAGCTTGGACTCCGGCCAAATTCTCCAACAGAATTCTCGCCTCTCGATATCCGATCGGCTGGACGGGAATATCAGGCAAGTCTGCCTCCGCTTCTGGTATCCGGTAGGCGCCGGGAACGCTCGGCCATTGTGGAGTCGTCGGATCTCCGTTGGCCAACATCACCGTTCCGCTCTGGACCGCCATATCGGGCATGTATTCGCTGTCAGGGTAAACGAAGTCTTCTCCGTAGGGAGCATATTCCTTCGGGTCGGAATACAAAATGACCCCGATTGCTCCGTATTCCATCGCAAATTTGACGATGTTGCCTCTGAAGGACATGCCGTAGCGAGCCAATACGATCTTTCCTTCCGCTGATATCCCTTGACTGAGAAGGTATTGAAAGTCCTCTCGACGGCCGTAGCAAGCATAGACGAGATCTCCGATGGGCTCCCCAGGGGCCGAATACGCACTGAAGGTGGGAAACACCCTGGGACTACTTTCTTCCGGCGCAAACAGAGGTTCTTCGTAGCCCAGGGTCGAGAAGACGCTCTCTCCCGTCCCATCGAGGATGTGAATCGTGTTCGGTCTTTCTCTGTCTGGGTAGGAGAGCAAGACGTCGTAAGGAACTATCTTCACGGAATCCAACCCGAATTCCAGAAACTTATCGCGCACGTAAATGGCCGTGTCGAGTTCTTCCTCGGTTCCAGCCACATGAGGTGCTTGGGTCAGTCGTCGGAGATATTCCCGAAGTTTCTCACTGTCGACTCCATCGGATAACCGCCTCGCTTCGATATCGATTTGCTGACCCGTGCATGGGAAACGCTGCGATGCGAAGAGGAATACAAGACTGGCGACGAACACAATCGGGATCCCCATGATGGGCACGACTGAAATTGAAGGTCCTGCTGGGATTCGTATTCATCATGGTTTCTTCTATCTCCTCTGCTCCTCTGATAAGCTCAAGCATGTGTCAACATTCTCTACGGATTCTACAATAACAAAAAAAAAACATTCCTGTTCGGACAAAATGCTACTCGAGGAATTTTCACGATTAGGGCTTGACCATGAGGCATCCGATAACATATTCTAGGTCGGAAAATCAGTTGGAATTATTAAAAATAACTGGGTGTGTTGATTCACTTCTAAGCTCATGAAAGAATTACTATGAGAATCTACAGACTACAAGATGGACCACATGCAAATCCCTCGTAAGGCCTTGAAAACCTAAAATTCTCCTTCAATTGCGGACAATTGAGGCAGCCCCAAGTTTCCTGAGTCTTCTGCCCAAGGGTTATAAGAATCAATAGTTCGGACGCGGTTCGTCCCTCAACTGAAGGATGTCAACTGAGTCGCGATTGTGACTGATAACAACTCTCGATTTCTCGGTTGAAACGCACTCATCCGGGGAAATCCCAAGCAGGACTTTTCTGGAAAGGCCATCACGTTCAACGAGTGCCACTGTTTGCCTGATGGTTTTTTCCCCCTGCCGTTTCAGTTTAAAAGTCAACTCGAATCAATGCTACACTGTAACAGAAAATATGGCCTGAAATGCAGCTATACGCTGGAAATATTACTTCCCTGGCCTTCTTCTCCACAGAAAAAGTTCAACATATTAAAATTGAAACCGTAAGTCAACTGTGATTCACCGTTGAATCACAGGTTTTCAACATCCATTCAACAGGAGTTCAATAGTGGTCACCGTTGAATCGCAGTTGATTTGCCGTTGAACCCAATACAACCGGTTATTCATCGTTGAATCACCGATTACATTTTTGTACGGGTTGGAAATGTCCCCTTTCCCCTGTCGCATTACAGACAGAAAGACCGGTTTTCCGTATCCTTGACGGTGAGAGACCGGTCTTTCTGTTTCTAATATCCCATAATAAAAAAAATTCCTGAGTGCTCCTACGAGCTTCTTGAGTAGATAAACCCTTCTCTTTTCCTGTTCGTTGCTTGAGATTCCTTGCTGTGATAACTGCTACTTCAATATGGTCTGAGTGTTCTCTTTACTTCTTTAATTCGGCAAAACAATACACTCGGACTCTTGTAGGAGTTTCGACCGGGCGATGAAGTTAAGATGGAAGAATCCGTTCCGTCAGTGCAAATCCACCGCTCTTTCATTTTTGGTATAGGTGGTTTGCAGGGGAAGGGAATGAAATTAATTTTATAGAATCCAAATAAATTAGATTTCCTGTGCAAAAACTGGTAATTTTTTTTCTCTTTTTGCCTTGTACTTCGTATTTCAACTTTCAATTATATGTAGACATGGACTCCATGACGTTCTCAAAATTTTTTACTAGAATTTCTCTCAAATTTCAGCGACACGAAGTCACGAGCCGCTGGCCTCCACGAAGCGTGCCATGGACCCAGTAAGTTTAAGAATCCCTGCCCCTTTAAAAGAGAGGAATCGACACCCAGAAAGCACATCCAGTCGAAAGCATCCCAGGACCGAAAGAACCCAGCGCTGACGAGAGCGTGTGACTTCGAGAGCTTGGACGAGGACCAGGCAATGAATGCTTCACCCTCACACCCTCCCTCCTCCCTCAATTTGGAGTGGGTCCGAGAATGAAGCCAGTCGATTCGCTAGCCAGGACACAGCGGAGGCTCAAGGAGACTTGAAACCACGATCGATTGAGCGAAAATCACACCAAAAGGGTCAGATTTCACTCCTGTGCAAATGGACGAATGGACTCGAGTGGAGCGAACGACTGGGGCTGGAGGACGCCAGCCGTTTTCACGTTGTCCGTTGCACCTCGAAAAGGTAGATGCTTCGGTTTTGCATTCGTCCTCTTTCTCTATTTAGTCGTCAGGACTTTTTTTTCCATAAGTAGGGTGTCATTCGCTGGTTTCAGCATCTCTGTTCGATCGATGCGTATTTCTCTTCCCCTTGAGAACTCGAGAAAGAAAAATACCTGTGGGTCGGATGTGGAGCCGGTGTCGCATCCCCTGCCATCATACCCATTCCTCTGAATTGCTCTGCGGCTTTCTTTTCTCCTCCAGGAATCGGCGGTTCCCCCATAGTGAGTCCCGTGGTACCCTAGAGCCTTCTAGGATTCTGTACGCAAAGACCCGCACTAATGTGGAACGTTTCCTCCGAAGGAACGTGGCTAAATCTGTTATTGTTGGCTTTTGCAAGGCGCTGTGGAGAACCCCCAATCTCAGGGTTCACGTGACGACACACGATTCCTCCCTCGGGTCGGGCTGCAAGCCCACTAGGCTCCATAAAAATCCTGTAGCGAACCCTGACGGTCACAGCAGAGCGAGATATGCGACGAGAACTGACGGATCTCGCGACGACATTTCCTTCCGATAAGATCTGGGGAAAGGGAAGCCCCGAGAAGGTTTATTGGAGTTTTCATTTCACAGTGAAACCACGTCTTGGAAGGTTCAATCGATTCTTGGCGAAGAATTGATGGCTCTTACACGAGTCCACTTGTCCTGTCCACTTTCGACCGCGACCGAGAAGTCTCTCGTGGACCCGAAATTTTACGGACACGACGCGCAACGAATCCCAACTCGACGTCCTTGGACGCATCGGTTCGGAAACGAGGATGGAAATCCGTTCGCATCGCCACAGAAGAGCGAAGCACGAGGCATCGCGAGATCCCTGCCGCATCTCATTCGACTCTCCGCGTTGTAGGCTTTCCCCCTTCTCCGTCTCTCCCGACCCGTCCACGTGTCCCCTCGAGACGACCCGTGCAGCAGGCTTCAAGGAACCTGCAAGGCACCACCCTCCTCTTCCTCTTCTCTCGACTGGGAGGGACTCGAGGGAGACTTCCATCGGTTAAATTCCATCATTCATTCGTTAGACCGGCACCGCACGCAAGTGATATTCACCATTCGCGTCGAGGGATCCCAGTGACGAGACTGCTCGAATGCAGTTGGAACATTCTGTGCGCTTTTTCAAATTTTTTATTCCATCGTAAAAGGGATGAAATCGAATGGGGTATCCAGGTTTTCAGATACGCGTCCGACCGTGAAGCATGTTAAGGGTGAGACTTCTGCGCATGAGCTTGCCCTCAGGGAGAGAAGAGATGACGCGATGCTGGCCGGAGACGTCATGGAATAGCGTCATGCCTAGAAAGTGAATTCCAGTAATTCCACTGGGGGATAATAGAGAATTAAAGACCCGCTTCACGAGGATTGGTCTCCGGGAAAGCTGACTTCATTTGCGAAATTTTCTTCTTGATTACAAGAGAAGCTCAGAGTTTTATCATAGTTTATATCATTATCATCGTTTGTCATTCATTGGAATCCAAAGAGAACGAAAGCGACTGAGTAAACCCGAGAGAAATTATGCCATCGGCCCTAGGCTACACAGCAGGCATGCATTGGATTTCCTCCCGCAGCATGCGGTTCCAAGGGAGCACGGCAAGTGGTTGCAAAAGGTGTAAGAACCTTAAAAAAATTAGTCCTCCTTTCGTAGACTGGATTACTAAAGTGCTGTAGCGGAGCATAGCTTCTAGGGTTGCATCCGCTGCCGCGAAGGCAGCTAGGCCTCCTTAGTAGTGGAAGCACCTCCGATTCGCTGCGGTTCCCAAACCATCAACAGACGAGGAACATCCCGGAAACAACGATGCATCTCGACGCCGCCTCGACCAGACCACTCGATCCCATCCTCACGAAACGGCGTAAAGCAAGAGAGAACTGCGGTCCCTCGCTCCTGCGAGGCAGACGCTGCGAACCCCTCTCGCCAGCCTCTGGCTCCGTCTTTCTGCGGGCCACATCCCGCTGCATCACGAAGGCACCATCGTTCCTCGCATTAAGAATGGTGGACGAAAGCCACTGTCTCCAATAAAACTCCCCACCTGACCTTTAGCCCAGTCGTTGGCTGTTGGATCACTGCCAGGCTCACATGACAAGCGCCCGAGAGGAAGGGCATCGATCATTTCAGCTAGCTTTCGCATAAACGAGGACGACGAACAAGAGAGTGAAGCACTCTCTTCCCGTTTGAAAGACGCATGAATTTTAAAAGCGAATTTATTGGACCACCTCGTGTCCCAATGAGTCTCGTGACGAGATTCCAAACGCCGTGAACATGCTTTCTGTTGCATAATCCAAACAGCAAAGAGCAGATGCAGAACTTTTTTAAGGCATGCGCTCGAAAGAAATTTCTGCTCCATTATTTTTTCTTTAACCTCTTCAGGGATACTAGTACAAATATGAACGTTTGATTCAATGCATTTTGAGTTGGTCAAAAAGTGATCCTCAACTGCTCAGATGCCACAGATGCGGCCAATATGTTGAGAGAATTCATTTTAGTTGGTATCACTGTTCCCCCAACTTGCAAAGTGCTCTACACTTATATTTATTTTCCCTTGTCAAAAAATTCATCCCTGAAGAGGTCAACTATTTTTGTTCCTACCAAGGATCATCGTGCGATGCAAGGCAAAGTGTTAGGAATCCGCTTTTATCGTAATAAATTGTCCACATCAAACTCATTTTGAATGTGTTCATTGCCTCAACTCGGCTCGATGACCGAAATAAATTTCAAATATCTGCAGAGAATTAATTAGCTGAAGTGCAAGTTTCGTGACAACAGCTCCAGCGAGAGATTTAAAGTCCCATATTGCGGATACCAACCAGATCGCTACACGCTTACTACGTGGGTTAGATTACAAAAAAAGTTAGGAATCGTACTTTAAGATTCGTTTGTTTCATGTTAACAACAGAATCGGGTGTCAGGTGTAGGGAAACGTTTGCAGAGTTTTGGGAAACGTTCAAATGGTTTTGAAAACTGAAGCAAAGTTTTGGAGGAAATGGACACCGACATCAAATATATATAGACGATCGTGACTGACTGACTGACTGACTGGCTGACGCTAATTCTAACCATGTTCTAGAAAGGCTAGAAATCTGAAACTTGGTACACATAT